CTGGTGGTCCAGCGAAGTGCGGGTGCGGCCCACCGTCGTCGTCGTCGTCGTCGTTGGCCGTCGTCCGAGGATGCCAGGCCAAGCTCAAAGGCATGGCCTGGCGGAGCCATCTGCCCGGTCGAGCCCAGCCTGTCCCCTTCCTCGGCCTACAGAGTAGTGCGCCCTCGTCTGGCCTAGGAGGGGGCTACGGAGGGCGCAGGGTCCAGCCACGATGGCCTGCCAGCCCAAGCAAGCGGCGGTCAGCTCTTCGGCCAAGGCGGGCGCGGGGCCACGAGCAAGCCAAGCTGCCTGCCCGCGACGCAACGGCAGCGAGGGCGAGCGAGACTCTGCCATCGATCCAGCGCACAAGCCCGATCGACGGGGGCTCTGACAGGCTTCTGTCTGCCGCTGCTGCTGGGTCGGTCGGTCGGGCACCGCCCCCTCGCCGTGCGTTGTTGGTCATGGCGGCGGCGCCCGCGGCCTGATTTCATCGCCTTGCAGATCGATTTCCCAAATCGACCAGCCAGGGCAGGGCAGGGCAGGGCAGGGCAGGGCAGGGCAGGGGCAGGGCAGGGCAGCGCGCGGCCGACGATGGACGGCGCACGAGCCTCGCCGAGGAAGAACGACGAGGCCAGGCAGCCAGCTGCGCGCAGCAGCAACAACACACAACGCACGCAACGCGGCCTCAGCCTACCCTTGGCCATCGATCTGTACGACCGCCCGCCCGCCCGCCAGCCAGCCTGCTGGCCTGCCCATCTGTCTGCCTGCTGGTCGGCCTCGACGCTGGCTCAACGTTGGCTCAATGCAGCGTGCACCGACGATGGAGGCAGGCGAGAAGCCAGGCGCCAGGTCAGGCCAGGCCAGTCCAGGTCAGGCCAGGCGGCAGGCGTGTGCGATGCAGCCAGCGCGGTCAGGGTTTGGATTTTTCCAGAGCGCGCCAGGGGCCAGCACGCACGCACGCAGAGAGGCAGGCAGGCAGGCAGGCAGGCAGGCAGCAAGGCAGACAGCGGGCGGGCAGGCGTGCCAGGGTGCGCGAGTTTTTCAGGTGTTGCTCTCTCCGCCCCTCGGCTCGACTGGGCTGGCCCTGGGCTAGCCTGGCCAGGGCGCAGCGGG